CAAATACTTGATGAGTTTTTATGCTACAATCATTCGTATTCATTCACTTATTTATTTTCCAATCCATGTATACCAACCAGTTCAAGGTCAAGGGTGGCAGCTCAGGGCACGGGGCAGGGACCAGCCCTGCACAGAATGCCAGGGCCTCTCTCTCTCTCACACACACACACTCACACAGATGGAGACCATGTAGACACGCCAGATCACTTGAAGGTTATAGCTTCAGGATGTGGGAGGAAGCCGGAATACCAAGAAGACCCATGCAGACATGAACCATGTGCTGACTCCACACATGCAATGACCCTGGCTGAGAATCTATTTTTTTCTCATCATTGTTATAACAGAATGATGAATGGAACATTATTTGAGGTCCTGCTGTATGCTGTAAACCACTGAACTGTACACTTTAAAGACAAACGAATTCTATGGTAGTGAAGTATATCTCAGTTAAGCTGGTATATGTGTATATGTGTGTACTCTATGTGTGCGTGCACTTGTGTGTGTATACACAAGGTTCCCCTTGGTTCGAAATTCTAATATTTAAGAAAAAGAGGCTGGGCATGGTCACTCATGCCGGTAATTCCAGTACTTTGGGAGGCCAAAGTCTGAGGATTGCTTGAGCCCAGGCATTCGGGACCAGCCTGGGCAATAATAGCAAGACTTTGTTTCTACACAAATAAAAAGACTAGCCAGGCATGGTGGTGTACACCTGGAGTGCCATCTACTTGGGAGGCTGAGGCAGAAGGATTGCCTAAACCCAGAAGGTCAAGGGTTCAGGAAGCTTTGAGCATGCCACTGCATTCGAGCCTAGACAATACAGTGAAACCCCCAACTCAAAAAAAAAAAGTCCCAAGTTACTTGTATTAATTTTGCTTGTGGTTTTGTAAACCTTTTCCTCTGAGCCTCTGAATTTCTGCACTAAAGAGCTCTGGTTTTTTTTTTTTTTTTTTTTCAGGTTAACCTTGTGTATATTAATTTATCCACCAGCAAGTGCATATTAGCACCTCTCTTGAGCTGCAATGGCCAGATTGTTTTAGGGATGATGGTAGTAGTAGGAAGAGAGGAGAGTTGTCACAGGTATTATTAATAATAAATTAAAATAGCAATTGGGATTACCAGCCATTCTGTCAGAAGCGCACAGTGGTGACTTCACTGTGACTGTGGTGACAGGGAGCCCCACAATTGAGTCTCCCTGCTAATGGGCCAAGAAGGGAAAGGATTGAAAAGAAGGAGTGAGTGGTTTACATTACAAAGGGGATGTCTGAGCTCTGCTGCTCAAGCATGGGTATGGGGGGAACTGAGGCTGGAGACAGAGGTGTGATTACTGTGGAGCTGTCAAGGGCATCTGGGGGTTCAGGCAAGCACCGTGGCTGGCCCTGAGCAGGCGTGCCCTGTCCCTGCCACACACTGAGATCATGATTGAGCAAACTGGGCAGCCTGGACAAGTGTCACAGGACTGGAGAGGGAGTCTTGGGAGCCATCAGAGCCTTGGCTGAAATACTCTGGCTTCACGTTGGCCAGAGTTGGATTATTTGATGGGAAATAAAACTGCTGAAAGGTGCACACGTGTGTGCATGTATGTATGTGAATGTGTGTATGTATGTTTATAAAATGCTGTGATTGGCAGATCGATTAAAACAAGTGTGTGCTTAATATCTGATGACCTTCTCAAGGCAACACATGCACACACGCACGCACACGCACACACACACACACATGTGTGCTTTTACTGGGTGCTTTGGTATATATAAAAAATCATGAGCATCTAGACTACAATGCATATCCCAATGGTCTCATGTGTCCTAATGCTGTCCTTTGTGGCATCTTTCCCTATAGTCCAGGCTGCAACCAAGGCTCATATATTGTATTTAATTGTCAGGCATTAGAGAAACAGAAAGAACAAAGGATGTTGGAACAAAATGGGAGAAAATGCAAAATATTGATGAATCTGGATAAAGAAATGTTCTCCCCGTGTGATCCCCGTTGACCTCTCTATCCCACTCTCCTAAGACTTGTGTTCATGCCAGCTATTCTGCAGTCCCAGGGGCGTTCTCTCTGTTCCCCAAAGGAGGCGAACTGTTCCCACCTTTGGGCCTTGGACTCGGAGCCCCCCCTCTTCTTCCCGAGCTGCACCTGGCTGGCCCCTTCTTGTCATTTAGCTCTCAGTGGAAATGTCACTTCTAGGAGAGGACATTTTGCTAACTGAAGTGATGACCCAGTCACTTTCTCTCCTTCTGCTTTGGTAATCTTAGACCCATTGCTAGCTAATAATTCTGTCTTGTTTACCAGTGCATCGTAATAGCACCTGGCATGGGGTATGTGCTCAACAACTGTTTGCGAACTAATCTAAGTGTCCAGGAATAAGAGTCATTAAAAATGATGACTGTGAGCCGGGCTCGGTGGCTCAGCCTGTAATCCCACGCTTTGGGAGGCTGAGGTGAGTGGATTGCCTGAGTCCGTGGGCTCGAGACCCGCCTGGGCAACTTGGCGAGACCTCATCTCTACAATAAATCAAAAATTAGCCGGGTGTGGTAGCGCGCACCTGTATTTCCAGCTACTTGAAAGGCTGAGGCAGAAGGATCGCCGGAGCCCAGCAGGTCGAGGCTGCAGTGGCCAGCAGTGGCCACGGCACTCCAGTCTGGGTGACAGAGTGAGACTCCAACTCAAAAAAAAAAAAAAAAAAATGATGACTGTGCCTTACATAAAGATGTACTTGAAATAAGAAAAGGCTTCAGGACCCCAATCTGGGGATACATATGCAAAGAGAAGACCTTGGTCCAACATTAGAATATTGATGGATGAATACACATTTATATATTTCAATTTAATATTAAATGTTTAATGTTAACATTTAATTAGAGCTTAATATTAAACTTAATAAACTTTTAATAAACTCTAATAAACTTTTTTATCCAATGTAATACCTACACAAATTACATTGGTTAAGAGGATATCTACTATCTATAAATATATACCGGGAGTGCAAAAAATATTTTTTGCACATTTTAAGAGATATTATCTATGTATTACTTTTAGTTTACTATAATCAGAAGTGTCTGAATGCTGAATGCACTTTGAGCACCTCTTGTAATTGCAAAAGTCCAGTATGACTTGTATTCGTCTGTTGTTATCAGTATATATTGAATGTTATAATTTTAATACAGTTTTTTCCTTTCTTAAAATGTGTATACATTTTTTGGCACCGCAGTATATATAATATATGCAATGGCATATTTGATATATTTTATATATATGTATATGTACACCCACAATGATTCCAATTATATAAGCATGAGAACAAAAAACCAGAAAGGAAATATATGAAAATAATAGCTTATCATTTTAGGGAAATGGAATTATAAGTATTTTACTTTTTGTATTTTCCAAACTTTCTGCATGTGGTTCCATTATTATTCTAATTTAGAAAATACTTTTAAGAGACAAAACATAATACATGATTGATATGATCAAATGTTAATAAAACTGTACATGCAGTTTGGATATGGAAGGACTTTCTTGAACTTGGCGTGCTCAGTGAAGCTTTCCCGAAAATTGTGGTAATTGAACCAGACTTTAAAAGATTCATAGAATCGTTGAGGGTAGACAAAAGGTAGAGAGAGCCCCTTGGGCTAAAGAAGCAGAATGAGCAAAGATAAGGACAGGTAGAGAGACTGAAGAGACTGGCTTGATGGGTGGAAAGATCATGTTTGGGAGACAGCAGGTATTGCTCAGAGGGAGTTAAGACAGAAGATCTTGACATTTGGGTAGACACATTTACCTTAGAAGTGAAAGGAAATGAGGACGTTCCTATAATAAGGAAAAAAGTAAGTAGATTCTTGAGGAAAAGGCTGACATGAAGGTGTGGGTATTTTAGGAAAAAAATTGTGCAAGAAGGCGACAGAGCTGGCAGTTGGGAGCTGTGACACCATTGTCCATCTGGTGTCCATGGCTGGCACCAGAATCAATCACAGCACTGCTCTGCTGAGACGCAGCCCCAGACCATCCTCCCCATCCCTCCAGTCAGCCATTACTAATCAATCAGACTTGGCCATGAAACCCTCTTGCCTCCCGCGTATGTCAGACTAGACAAAGGGATGATGGGCAGGAGGCAGACAGGAGAAAGGAGGTGAGGGACCAGAGGACAAGACTTGGGCTTTCACAGTTCTGAAAATGTAAGAATAGATAGTTTGAGATGTGTCCTTTGTATTTGAAGTTGTGTATTTAAGTGGGGCCAGAAATAAAGACCTTACAAAACTCATCATTTAGTTCCAGAAAGATTTTGTGTTTTCTTTCCAGGTCTTTGTCCTGGTGTATAGTTTCTAGGCACTTGCTTTAAAAAAAAAAAACTTTCCTGAAATATTTAACAAATCTTGAAAACAACTCCAACAAAAATGTGCTAAACAAAGGCTCTTGCCCGTTTTTAATCTACAGAGATTTGGACACACCTGCTGTGTCTACTCGTGGGAGTTAAGTTGTCAGAATATATTAAGTCACTATTTTTGGTGTTTTTTTTTTAAGGTCTTGTTTTCTGTTATTTTTTTAAATAGTTGCTTTAGATTGCAAAACAGCAGACAAAATTAAAAATGAAATGGACTTGTCTTGTGTGTGGTGGGGGTGGGGAGGGCTTCCACTCTGTCAGCGTGTGGGCTGTGAGCAGAACAGAATGTTTATCTTAGCTGCAAGCTGACGCTGGAAAATAAAGTTAGCAATAGCCAAAGGGCCGCTTTGGAAAACTTCTCAAAAAAGAAAAGACATAAATCTAGTGGTACATGAGTTCTCCTATGTATGCTAGCATTTCCTGGGTGAGCCTGAGACCACTGCTTTGCCCTATACAATTTAATTCTTACCCACTTGGTTGGTTTAAAGTCACCTTCCTGTACCTCTAGTCCAGGGCTTAGGTGCTGGAACCAATGGTAGTGGAACTTTTTGTTGATTGACCTTTCTGTTTTTTCTTTTTTTTTCTTTCTCTTCCTTCCCCCCATCTATGGTTTGTGATCAAGAGTTTACAAGACCCTATGAAAAAATTAGTTGAGAAAAAAGAAAAGAAGAAGGTGACCCAGGAGGAGACCGCAGATGCCGCAGTGCCAGAGCCAAGCCAGTAAGTCACGGCTCCTACCCTTGGTACAGTTCCCTCACAGGTGAGGGCAGCATAGTCCTCGCTGAGAGTTTGTCTGGGGCCTGAGGCCCAAGCAGTCTCACCTCCTCACTTCTCGGCATAGGCCAGACTCCTTGAGCACATATTCCTGTTGGGCTGTGACTCACGTGTCCCAGTAAAAGCCCCATGTCTAGGGTAGTTGAAAGGGGCACACTCGTGAGGGGCTGACTGGGGCCAGCCAGGGCACGTGTCCCCAGTGCTCCCTGGCTCTCTACTTGGTGACCTTCACCCAGCTGTCCATTCTGTCCGGTTTTTGGACTTATCTGGTTCTTTGGTTACCACTGGACGCCCTGGTAGACAGGAAACCCCCCCATCCCACCCCCCGACCCAGCTTTTCTCTCATGGAAGGAGCTGACCTGTGGAATTGCCTTAGTGGCACATATAAACTAAGGCATCATCATGCAAAAGTGTTGGCTTTGGCATTTTGTGTTCTACCTGGTCTGTGTCCTTCTCCATGGAGCAGAGAAAGCTCCAAGTGCAGGAAGTGACTGACCATCACTATGCCTCGCCTCTTTATAAAGATGCCTCTTGTCATTTCCAATACCGAGAAGAGCTTTTCTACATATGTGACACCGTGTGGTTCCTAATCTCACACAGTGAGAAGGAAGCTTAGCTGTGACTCTCAGTCCTTTTCTGTGGGGATGTCATCACTTGCGGGAATGCAGTTAATTTTTGAACTGGCTGACCTAGGAAAGCCAAATAGATGACCTTGGCGTTCGTTCACTATTCCTTTTCCACACACACAAATTTAGATGACATTCTTATGGTCAAACAGGCTTATGTGTTTACTGTATTTCTAAATAAAGTTTCAGATGTATTGTATTGTCCCACAGAAATATTTGCTGCCAATATTAGCTCTTCTTAAATTTTAATTTAATAAGAAATGTTTTGGTACAGAATGAAGACAAGTTGCCACTGGAGGACAGATGACAGAATGTCATATGAATCTCATAAAACTGGCTATTTTAGGGGAAGCAGTGTAACCATTTCCTGGTAGTGCTAGTAACACTGGCTGTCATTTAGTGAGCACCTACTGTGTGCCAGGCACAATGCTAGGTGCTTTATTGATGTTAATTCATTCTCATGATAATCCTCATGTAGTTGAAATAGGTATCTTCCTCGCTGTGAGGGGCTGAACTGAGGTTCAGGGAGGGAAAGGGGCTGCCACGGTTTGTGTAGTAAGAGGCGAGACTTGAGTATCTATACCTCTTCTCACCATACAAGTTAATGCAGTCAAAATTAAGCATTAATCTGTACTCAGAAGGGGGCTACTTAGGATGTTCTTGATTTGTTCTAAGTTCAGATTTATCAAATATTTTAGTAGTTTTTTATTGTATTTTATTTTTACTTTTTTCTGAGTCAAGGTCTCACTCTGCCACCTAGGCTGGAGTGCAGTGGCACCATGAAGGTTCACTATAACCTCAATCTCCTGGGCTCAGGTGATACTCTGGCCTCTACCTCCCAAGTAACTACCCAGCCAATTATTTATTTATTTATTTTTTGGTAGAGATGAGGTCTTGCTGTGTTGCCCAGGCTAGTCTCGAACTCTTGAACTCAAGCTATCCTCCCGCTTCAGCCTCTCAAAGTGCTGGGATTACAGGTGTGAGCTACCGTGTGTGCCTGGCTATAATTACTAAAGGCTAAAAAAAATATAACCCAGTAACTATTTTTAAATGACAATGAAAACTGAACAAGAATTTTGTTCGGAAATAGCAGCACTGGGAGGAAAGTTCCGAGGCATCAAGTGAGTCTCAGGGCAGTCATGTCTCTTTGTCCTTAACGGTATGGCCAGAGTTGAGGAGGCGCCTGTCCACCTGGATTGCAAGGGGTCCTCTTTCAGCCCCTGGTCTAGCTAGCCTCCTGAGGTGTCCTCTCCTGTGAGTCAGAACACATCGATGTTTGGCCATCGTTTTTTTGCTGTTTTTTTTAACATGCTAACTGTAGACATCCATCTTATTCATACCTAATTTACCATCCAGAAATTTACAGAATATTTGCCTCACAATGAAATCAACTTTAGGGATTAAGATGCCACAGAAAGGGACAGAAAGCCAGCAGATGTATTTCTTCTTCATAAAATATGTAGCACATAAATGGTTCTGCGTTGACCTTTCTTCCCGTGTACGTGTGTGCATGCATGTATCTGTTGTTATAAGTGAAGTGATAGATATTGTACTAAAAATCTGGCTGTATCATAAATAACAACCTTTACAGAACTCGATGACTAAACATTTTTTTGTTTTAAGATTAATTTCATTAGAGGATGAAAACCAGCACCAGGAGTCCTCTGGTTTTATGGGTAAGTTTTGATTTTTATTTAGAATTGCCTCTAAAATACTTCTTAATGCTCAACAGCTACCTCATGTCCTATCTGGGCAAACTTCTCTGCAGCCTGTGTTCTTTTCCAATTCGGAAAAGGCTAACTAGCTTCCTGTAGACTTCGTTTTAACAGTTTCAGTCTCAACAATGTCGACCCTATGGCATTATTGAAAGAGGCTGGAATTTGGAACCAAAAAGTTTCCCCCCGGTGACGTCCCCGCAGCTCTGCAGAGGGACAGCCATGGCTGGATTGGGCCGGCAGCAGAGTCTTTTCACAGTCCATGATGGCCTCTCTGGCTGGTCCTAGTTCCAGTGTCAATAAGATGTCACAATTACATCATCAAGGCTGGGTTTGCAGTGGTGTATGGGGTGGGCATTGGCCAGCATTGGGAACAACAGATGGGGATTGCATAGACGCTGCTCTTCCCTGTGGCAGGAAGGTACCAGGTCCCTCAGGTGAGCTGAGCCCACTGTGCTGGAAAAGGGGTCGTCACATGGGAGGTGACACTGCCGTGCTATGCGAGGCCCAGCAGCCACTTCTGACTCATGCTGCTGCTGCCAGTGTTGCCGTTGGTCTTTCACCTCACAAAGGGGCAGGGGGGCAACAGTGATAGAACCCACATGGGGCAGTTCCCTGGAGCCGCTTGAAGACACAGTGGTGGCTTCCAGGGTAAAGGGGAGAACTGAAGCCACCCCAGCACCTGGGCCTCAGTGACATGGCCACTCGGCCTTGCTTCATCCTTTCCTGGGGACAGGAGGAGGCCGAGTATACCCCAGAGCCTTACTCCACGTCCCCCTTCCCTTCCATCCTCTGCCTTCCTTCATCTTCCTGGCTATCCTTCCAGCCACATGCTTCATGTACCTTCTTCTCCTCCCACTCTGCTCCTTAATATTCTTTACTCCTGTCTGCCTTTCAACAAAGAACAACCAAAACAACCCACTCTTGCCTCTCATACTGGCCCCAGGCTGCACACGTGTGTGCCTCACACACCCCGTGCTCATCATCTGTGTGTTTCCTGAGAGCCACCTCTGCGCCAGGCATGGTGCTGGTCCCTTTCAAGATGGGGCTTACAGTCAGCAGGGATAGCAGATGGCCCTCTCATAGTCACACAAGTATCCAGCTCTGCGGGGAGCTTCAGGGAAGACATGCGGGGCTCTGGGCATGGGGATGGAAAGGCTATACATTTTGAGGCCGTGGGGAACTGGCTACACCAAGTGCTGTTGTGGGACTTGTCAGAGCCAAGGAGACAGCCTGGGCAAAGGCTGTAAGCCAGGGAGGACCAGGCAAAGATCAGAGAAGCATGTTCCAGGGCATGAGGGAAGCAAGGGGCAGGAGGAGAAGCCAGGAGGCTGGGTCTCATCTTGCTGGCCAGGGAAGAGCTCTCTGTCGGTGTGGACCCAGCCCTGCAGCCTCAGTGAACCCACAGCATGAATCACTAACATCGAGGGAGTCAAGGTGATTGGATGGAGAAACTTTTGTACCCATGGGAATACGTGTACTGTGGTTTTTATATCTGTGTGCAAGTTACACATCTATGTAAATTATAGATTCATATAATGTGTGACGAGGCGGGGAAATCAGACCATCCCTCATTTCTTGTGTAGGATAATTGCTTGTGGTATTCGCATGATATTTTGCAATTGCAAATGTTGATCACCTTGTTTTATATATGCACAGAATGGACGCCTTTATGATGAAGTATCATCTGTCTTTTATTGTATGACCTGCAGGAAGGCTAATGGACATATGAGCAGACCAGATTTTAAGGCTGTTCCATTACATGCACACACAGAGACACACGCTTTTTTGCGGAGAACAGTTTTTGGTTCACAGCAGAATTAGGTGCAAAGTACAGACATTTCTCATACACCCCTTTCCCCGACATTTGCAGAGATTTTCCTACTGTTGACACCCTACACCAGGGCGGTATGTTTGTTAGAATAAATAAGCCTACACTGACACCTCGTTGTCACCCAAAGTCCATAGTTTACATTAGGGTTCACTCTTGATGTTGTACATTTCCTGGGTATTACAAATGTGTGATGACGTGTAGCTACCATTGTAGTGTCACACAGAAGAGTTCCACTGCCCTAAAAGTCCTTTGTGCTCCTCCTCCCTCCCCTCAGACCTTGGCAACCCCTGATTTTTTTACTGTCTCTATGGTTTTGCCTTTTCCAGAACGCCACATATTTGGAATCGTGCAATGTGTAGCCTCTTCAGATGGACTTCTTTCACTTAGGCATCACCTTTTTATTTTCACCAGATTCGTATGGCAAGAGTTCATGAGCATCATCAAGTCATAGCCAATTACTTACATCACACATTTGTCCATGGAAGCAGATTTATTAGATCAGTGTCATACAATCTTCTGGGTTATCTACCAAACAAAGCAAAGATTCAGGGCTGTTGATCCAGCATTCATTGGGAGCCAATAGCTGGAGTCAAATGTAGTCTGAGGACCGCTGCTTCTGCTCTAGTGGCTTGGTGTGTGCTGCTTTTTCCTAAAGCTGTGCATTACTGCCTTAGTCTACGAACTTGTGCACAACTTAGTATACTGCCTTAGTCTACGAACTTGTGCACAATTCTGAGCTGTAATATAACCAATTGCACATGTTATATTGCAGCTGAAGGTGGAAAAAGTATTTTATCTGCCTTAGACAAAAGCTCTACACATGGTACATACTCAGGTAATCTAGATTAAGGAAAATGACTGTATTTTAACTTGACTCAGTCGCCTTGTGAAATGAACCTGACTCGCTGTTTTGTTTTCTCTCCTCTAAAGGACCTATAGATGAACTATTAGACATGAAACCTGAGGAAGGTGGTAAGATGGATGCACTTTTACTTGGGGTTATCATCTGTTTAGTTTTTTAATTCCTTTTTTATATGCAAGAAAATGTAATGTTTATCTTTTTAATAGTTGGCATTCCTAAGCAAATTATTTTTAGGTGATGGCCTATATAAGGCTCAAGTTAGTATGTGTGGTCTGTCATCCTTAGTATAATTAATTTCACAATGTTGAATCTACTAAAGCTGAAAGTGATTATGCCAAAAGTCATATGCTATAGTAGAAAAACATATATCTTTCAGAATCAGGCAGATGTGGATTTGAACACTGGTTCTACCGTAAATGCCTATATTGCTTTAGGTAATTTGCTCCATACTTAAACTCTCTAAGCCTCCATTGTTCTCATTTGTAAAATGGAACCGATAGCAACAGCCTTGCCAGGTTACTGTCAGGATTGGAGATCATGTATGTAAAGGGTGTTTCAGTCACTGACAAAGGGACACTCTCCCAGTGGTCACCAGTTGAGTAGTAGGACTGGGCGTGTGGTTTTGGGGTGGTTTATTGTGGTGCAACTCCATTGAACCTTTGGTAAATGCTGGGGGAGAGGGTGCTTAGTTGAGTCCCCCACCCAAGTTCACCAAACCTAAAATCACTCACTAAATAACCCCCAAGAGAGAATCCAGGACCATGGATTTGGATGAGATATGCATGGTGTTAAGTGATCCCAAGAAACTGAGTATGTTCAGTCTAATTACAGCCTTTATTCTCCATCCTACCAAGGGCTACCTTTTAATGATGTCCCAAGAGTCCAAAATACTCCTGAGATTTGGAGTCAGAACCAGAACCTTCCATGTGCTGGTAGCTGGCACAAAGTTTGCCCCATCCATACAGACTCCTCACAGGCCTAGAAATTGACCAAGGTCATCCTGCGGGCCCCGTTAACCAGGGCAGACAACTCAACTCCGTTTGAGCTTGTTGTGGATTTAATTCACAGAGTGCAGAAGGAAGGTCTATGGAAAGCAGAGGACACCGGTGAAAGTTTTTTCAGAAACTGAAAGGCACCACACCTCTGGCATTAATTTTCCAGGGCTTAGGAAATTAAACATGCAGGCAGAAGTCTGTTCTTATTACTGTCTCCCTATAGGCAGCAGACTGTGCAATCTATCGTGAATGTCCATCATATTTTATCAAAATGACTAGTCATTTGTAAATATGGGAATCATACCAGGTAATGGAAGTCATTAGCAAGCAGTTAATGTGGATTCCTATACATGGCGATCACTTTCGTATAAACTTTTCACCCCTGACTTAAAAGTAGAATATTTTGATGGAATAAAAAAAATTTTAACAAATTATTTTTTGGAGGGGAGGGAATATTCTAATCTTATGAAAATAAGATGATAAAGACAATAACAGAACAAGCCTAGGTAACTACCACCTGGTTTTTAGCAAGTCTTAACATTTAACAAATGTTATAAGCATCCGTATTTCAACTTATTTTGATAGGAAGGTTATCATTCCTTCTTTTCCCCACATCTTATTTATATAACTTGGTCTTTTCTTATTTGCTTCTTTAATTTTATTATTTCAATACATTTATTTTTTGTAGGTAGTATATTCACATTGGTATACAAACCAACTTACAGTAAAAAATGTATATACAGCTGGGCTCGGTGGCTCAGCCTGTAATCCCGTGCCTTTGGGAGGCTGAGGTGAGTGGATTGCCTGAGCTCGCGGGTTTGAGACCCGCCTGGTCAGTGAGACCTCATCTCTACAATAAATTTTTAAAAAAATCAGCCAGGCGTGGTAGCGCATGCCTGTAATTCCGGCTACTCAGAAGGCCGAGGTGGAAGGATCGCCGGAGCCCAGCAGGCAAG